CTTTTATAATAGTATTAGCTTTGTTGAAGATAGTGGTGGATGTGAATGTCTCTCTTGATTTTTGAGCTAGCTGCCGGGGCAAGTTTCAAGAACGTGGCATATTTTTGTATTTAAAAAAATAAAATCAAAGCTTATATAGGAGCAAGAATTCGTTGTTACTAGCCGTTACATAGTCCAGTTTTATGGATCGACTTCTAATCCACTTTTTCAATTAAATGAATTAATAAATGAACGTGAAATGGAATAAAATACTGTGACAGCGACATGTATTGTTGACGCTTTAATGTTAATGTATAAAGAGCTTTAGAGCTAATACACTCTATCGTCCCTATCGTTTGGCATAATTAAATTAAATACCCCGAATTATAAATGAAGCTAGGATTATGTATTAATAATGGACAAAGAATAGAAGGAAAAAGTGTTACATGGTTATGAAAGATATCTATAATGAGCGATCAAAAATGAGTTGCTGTCGAGTTGGCTTCGAACCCATGTATACAAAAATTCCAAAGGTAACTCGACAGTAACTCATTTTTGATCGCATAGTACCTGAATGTATGGTAGTGGGCTTGACACTAGAATATAGGGTTCGATTACGTTACGTCATAGACACCTGTTGATCATATCCTCACGTTTGTAGGTACAAAGAGTGTAAACTTATCAAAGCGGCGCGCGTCGCGTCGGTTTTCAACCTTATCCAACCGACGCTCCTTTGACCACGCACTTCTTCATTTGAAGCACCCCAAAGCGGTTCGTCGCGTTTCGCAATCGCGCGGCCTTCTCGAAATATAAATATTTTGGCAGTACGCCGTACGGTAGTATTGCAAACGCGCGATATTAAAATGTATGGTATGCTTTTGGAAAGTGTTCAGCATTTTGTGCAGGTAAGTTTTAAGCAATATACGGAATAATTGCGCGATTATGCAGAAACGACTCATTGTACTGTAACGCTTGTTGAATATAAGAAGTTACTTTAAGCTCAATTAGTTTTTAATTCATTTTTTAGACGCGTGAAATATATCAGAAGCTAATAGTCAAGTTTCAGCAAAAACTCCAGTCGAGTTAAGTAAAATTTATAAAGTTTTGTATTGGTTTAATAATACGTCTATCGACTAAAAGCGGTAAAGTGATATAAAGTTATACCAACCACTTCGCAATCCAATACAAACTTACTTTAATTGTCGAACAACATTGTTTACAAAAAGTTGGAATGAATGAAGACAATTTTACCGGAAAAAATTAAACCGGAGGAGTGTAATTACCTGCATACCAAATTCTAGAAATTGTGACACTATACCTATACTTCCACTTATTTCCAATACCCAAATTTAACAATGATTGCTTTTTTTTATAAACGTTCAAATGTTATTCTCAAAAATACAACCCTTTTCAGAACGTTTGACATTTTTTAAACCTATCTACTGTCGTCAATGTTTTAGACTTTAAAACGCTTGACATGAACGATTTATAGAACAGCCTCGTTTCGTTTGAAATAATTAAATGTGATCCCCAAAATCCAGCAATAAAGCAGTAGGGATTTTGATTATCTGCTGTTTAGTTTAAAAAGAAAAATCGGATTAAAATTATTTCTGTTAATAACAAGCGTTGGAATGTCGGCGAACACGTATGTTTGAAATTCTCTGATACCGTTTTTATTGGTGTGTCGTGTCTTTGAAGTTTTTATTGTTCCATTCTCTGCAATATCGTCGATACTTTAGATGAAATATCTACTAACGTAGTATAGTCAGGCATCTATCACAATTCGCATTTAAAAATCAGAGTTTTTTTATGCGTATCGCTAAACGAATTTGGGGATGAACCTGAAGGATATTGCTTGGGTAGTATCCAACGGTTTGAAATGAGTTTCATCTTATTAACCGATTTAAAAAGGAAGATTCAATGCAAAAACCGTTTGCAATTTTCCATTAACGCATTCCCTATATTATATTTTCTATAAATAATTTATGTTTATTTCAGGTTTTGCATTACGGTATTGTACGAATCGCGTGTATGTTCTTTTTTCTCACGAACATGTAAAGAAGATAAGAAATTCATATAATGTCTTAGGCAGAATTTCTTAAACTTTGCGGCGCATTTGGTAAGTGCGGGGCAGTAAATTGAAATAAAAAAACATTAAAACCGATTCATAAAACTTTTGGTATTAAATCTTGAACTACAAACATAACTATATTAAGTATACAGGATGTTACATGACCGTATTTAAAAAAAATTGGGTGATAGAGGGGATCAAGATAAGCACTTTTTCCAAACAAACGCGCTTTCCCACCTTCGAGAAACAGCCATGTTATTTCATTGATTCCAGTATTTAATGAAACACCAACTCCACTATTAAAAATTTTCTTTCTCCAGGACTTTCAAATAAAGCTGCCCATACCGTCTGTATGGTAGCAAGTTGGGCTGCATAGCCTGGAGGTCGGGTGTTCGAACCTGGGTTGTGGTAAATTTTTCATCTGTGGCAGAGATGGGAATTCCATAGATCCGTTTCGATCATTCTACCGGCTACTCCGAATTAGGTTTTCCTGTAGTTTTCCTAATTCGTAAGCTAAATACTGGAGTAGTATAGAACAACTTACGACCTTCTGCAGGGGCACCTCTAAAAAGCATTATGCGGGTCACTCTGTAATTGGGTGAAAGCTAGGGCGAAAGCCTGTTGAGGGCTGAACTTATTTAATATTTAGTTTTTGTGTTAAATAAAATTAGATTTATTATACCTTTTGTGGGTGTACTCGTGTTTAATTCAGAGACAATAAGAATCAAAATTTTAAACTTCGAGTGGCATTGCTGAGTAACTGTTGTTATGTAAATTCTTTAAACTATGATCATGGTTGTAAATATGGTGCATACAACCAGATCGTTTAATAAATTTTCAAGCGCAGACTATCTGCCAAGGATTCTCTTATAAAAGATGCTCATCCTAAAATCGATCCCCCTCTTTTTAAATTTTCATCCAATTTACCTGCTATTTTATCCTCTGGTATCGTAATACGGGTTTGAAATGCGAGTTATAAATGATTTGTAAGTTCTACAAACATCCCAAAACCCCTTATAAATTTGACTTGTTCCTCATTTTCCTAAATTTATTAATAAATAAAGAATATATCGCTTGATAGTTGATACGCAGGGAAAATGTCCATTTATAACTTTCAAGTTGTTTATGTGCGTTACTTTACATTCGCATCTTAAAAAGTGTTTAACGATGGAAAAATGATATAGTTGCTGACGGAGGAAGGCAAAATGTAATTAAAGAAGCCTCTCAAATACTAACGAAGTACCATGCTACCGCTACGAAACAAAAACCTCCACATTTATAGCAATTACTCCTACTTTTTTTTACATTCGAAGATGAATGGCCCTTCTGAAAAATTCAAGATGTTCTTTTATTATGCAAACAAATAAAATTGTTTTACTTCAGTGGAGAAATGACGACCACGACCTTTCAATATTTTGGATGAATAAGCGTAGATATTTAATTAAAAATTGTTGATTTATTAATTTATATTTTCGCGCAGTTTAGAACAATTTAAACAGCTTTAATATTTCATTCACATCGATTTAGATAAAGTAATGTAATTTACTTGAACCAACCCCAAAGGGAACACCTAAATTAAAATGAAAAACTTTCAAGCCAACATTAAATGTATCCTAAGGATCGTTGAGACCTGACCTGAATGAATTATGGTCGCTATATATAGGATGCGTGCTGTGAGAGTATACGAGTATGCGAGAATTAAACAAATTACGTAAATAAGATATATCGACTACTATAATAGCACTAGACTATTGTGAAAGTGAAAAATCGGAATACATTTATCGACGAAAATTTGCATCGAGAATAATAAAAATATAATAAGACAAACATGAGCTTTGTACGATGGTTCTAAAGGGCCATCACCATAATTGAAACTTCTTAAAAATGCCAGATTGTATCTCAGATTGCACGACTTTATCTTGCATTACTGGATGTAATACACTGCGAGCTTCCAAACAACAGTAGCGAATTAGGTTATGAAAGAATCGCATTTGTAATGAAGTATTGTCAGGCAGCATTCAAGTAAAGTGAAGTGAAGTTCAGTTGTCTTAATATGAGCTCGCTTATGAGTATGTGTTTGTGGTTCTTGAAATGGCACATAATTCTGGCAAGATCAATTTAATTCTATATAGACCGAGAGATAGCGACAGTACACGTCTGTCACCGCAATTTTTTCTTTACATAGGTTAGAACTAGCGTATAAACGTATATCATACGTCTTTTGAGCAGTAAAATCTATTTTTATGTTTTTAAAATCTTGACAACACAACAAACAAAATTTTATTAATAAACGTCACCCAATTAATACATTTGATATTTCATATTGACATATACCGGCCCGTGTGGCGCAGTTCAGTTGAAGCTGTACCGCGGTACAATGGGTCCCTGGTTCGAATCCGGATTCGGGCATGGACATTTGTAAATGTACAGTAGGTTGGTACAGCAGCCTTGGCTGAAACCCCGCCCAATCAAAAATAAAGGCAAAATAAATAAATATTGTCAGATGTTCTCCAATCAAACTTTTTTTGAGCAATTTTTGGAACATTACATAGTAAATATGCTACCAAGCGAATAGACAACGAAAAACGTCAGTCAATATGCTAGCGTCCTATTATTTTCTCTCTCCAATATTATTTTAAAATTGACGTTTATTAATAAACTTTTGTTTGTTGTGTTGTTAAAATTTGAAAAATTACATAAAAATTGATCGGACTGCTCAACAAACGTATGAGGAACGTTTATACGCTAATTCTAACCTATGTAAAGAGAAAATTGCGGTGACAGACGTTTACTAATCATCTGTCGTCATCTCGGTCTAATAATATTCTATGTTGAATTAGGATAGCAGCAGAAAAAATAAAAGCTTTTCAAAAGCATAGACATAATTACAAAATTAGGATTAGAAACCCAAAACGAGTTTTAAACGATTTTAAGTTGTTTAATATCCGGGGGGATATTATTAAACTGCACTGAGTGGAGAACGGCCTCATTCCCCAAATTATGGCCTGGACGCTCAGATGCAGGTGAACTAAAGACGTTTTATTCAATAGTCGCTTTATTCTACTTTTTGTACAGTTTATATACAGAATGATTGTGCACATTGCAATTACCTACTCTACATATTTTGATGACAACGTTATTAATAGTATACAATTTCCTACAACCCATTTCCTAATTGCTCTACATAAAACCTACGATAATAATTTATTGTTACTCTTGCTTAACTGCTTACTTGCCAATTGTTGTAATGCAACTATTCTAGGTCGTATTTACGCGAAACTAAATTCTTGTTTGATGAATATTAAACATTCTGCCGACTCGCGACAGCTCCAACGGTGTTCTGCCCTTGTGTTTCTGGTTGAGCATATATTATTGGTTCCATCTTTATGTCTTCTGTTGTTTGCCGGGATGGTTGTTGTCGTCGTTTATACCAGATATAACCTCCTCCAATAGCCAATGATGCCGTAATGATTATTATGGTAGTTAGAGTGCTCGTCATCATTGAATGTGTTGTTACTTTCTGCCATGCAGTTTCCCTAATGTGATTTTGTAGTTCTTGCTCCTTATCCCTTAGCTGGTTCAACTGTTCTCCGGCCTTCACTACAGGTTCTTCCAGTGGATGTACGTGGTGTGGGTGCCTCTTGGTATGTTGAGTACTGATATTAACGTGTTTGATGTAACTGCCGAGTACCATTATAGATTTATCTCTTCTCGGGTTTAAGATGCTTTGCCTCGTTTGTAGTCGACAATCCTGGGATAGGTTGATGATTCCCGTATTGTTTAACATAACCTCCTGTCGACGTCCGTTGCATATGATTGCCACTCTTGTGGGTTGTTTGGTAATAAACATCCACGTGTTTTCCATGTAAAGTTGTTTCCATATGGTGCTGGTAATTGTATGCTGTTGAATGTTACAATTGCTGTTCTCCGTATGGTTGTAAATTTCCCTTATGATGCAGTTAGGGCTGTCTTCCATCTTTTTTACTACTGTAGGTGCACATAGAAATTTGTGCTTCTCTATCTTAATGCTGTTCTTGAATTCTTCGTCCGTTAATTCGAAGTATAATTGATTGTTGTAGTCAACGCTAATTATGTTGTTGTCTGTACTTAATTCCCAAACGGTTGAATCTTCCATCTTTAAAGGAATGGGGGTGATCTTCATAATCACGTATTCCGTGATCTCTGCCACCACAAACACTCCGAACACGCGTATGTGAGTGTCATTCCGTTGCACCATTGTTCGTTTTATTGGATGTGCCAAAATTTCCATGCTACTGGGCAGCTGTTGTTGCGCTGTTAAGATTACCTTCCTGATGTGGGTTTCTGACAGTAAGTCGTAAAAGCTCCCTCGTTGGTAATGTACTTTTAGTACTTTGTGGTAGTGATTATAAATTTCACTAACCAGATTCATCGCTAATTGATATGTATTAAGTACTTGTATATTTAGCTTGTTTTCGTCGATTTGCCTATACCATTTTTCCATGTGATTTATCGCCTCTATTCCTTCATTTAATTTAAGGCGAAACCTTTCCAGCTGGTTTGTAATTCTCGTCTCCGTGTCATTGAATGTAGAAATGGCGGATAACATTATCTTTGTTTGATGCTCGGAATTTCGAATAACTTCTTGTTGATTCTTGTTCAGTGTGTCGATTTCTCTATACACCTCATCATTAACTCCAAAAACTGATGTTAAGATGTCTCCTAAGATTCCTCTTCTTTCACGTACACCTATCACGTGTTGTAGACCATCCTGTAGCCATCGTAGTTGGTCTTTTTGTTCATCCATGTGTTGTACCAATGTTTCACAGTGGGAGTTTTCTGTTAATGATGTGACGTTATTGCATAGTGCCTTAAACTTGTCTATGCTAACAGCTGCTTTTTCCATATCTTCAGTTATTCTGGTTTTACTATATTGGACCTCGATTCTAAATATTCCTCTCTCTATTCTTGCTTCTCCAATGTGTTCCACATATAGTCCTGGTTTAGGGTATGTTATGGTGTAATTTGCCCCTGTTGTTACCACCATTAGAAATATTGCGATCAGCAACGCCTTAACTCCTACCCTCTGTGATCTGGCAGTGCTCACTAGTGATGTTGATGTTTTGACGCATTCATTATCGCCTGTTTCAGAATTTAATGGTATTAATTGATGTATGCTGCGTTTTGATTTTTTCCCATCCGCTTTGGTGACGGTTACTACTCGTACAGTTCCATCCTCTGCTGGGTGTACTTCTTCGATCCTTGCTAACGGCCATTTACCAGGTGTTAAATGATCCTCTTTGATCAGAACCACATCTTTGACTTTGATATTATCCCTAGCGGTCTTCCATTTATACCGCTGTTGCAAGTTGTGTAGATACTCCGTTGACCAAGCTTGCCAAAATTCTCTCTTCATTTTTTGTAATAGTTTCCATCTACTGCCCAGATTGACATTGTTGTCTCCTGTTTCTTCAAACGGCTCTAATATAGGTTTTCCAATCAGAAAGTGCGCCGGTGTTAATAGCATGCTGTCATCTACTACTTCTCCGGTGTTAATTAATGGCCTCGAATTTAGACACGCCTCTATCTGTTGAGTTAACGTGGCTAATTCTTCGTATGTTAACGTCGCCTCGCCTATTACTCGTCTCAGGTGATATTTAAGTGACTTGACGCCACTCTCCCAGATTCCACCAATATGTGGACTTGCTGGTGGGATGAAATGCCATTGCGTTCCAATAGAAGTGGATTCTTCTTGAACATCCTTCCCTTGCACGATGGGTTGAACTTGTTCCAGAATTTTGCTGGCACCCACGAAATTGGTACCATTGTCACTGTATATGTGCTGACAACGTCCTCTCCTGGCCGTGAATCTTTTTAGTGCTGCAATGAATGCCTCTGTTGTCATATCACTAACAACCTCCAGGTGAATTGCTCGTGTTGCTACAAGTGGCCGCGATTTTGCCATTTCTTTTGGTTCCTCCTTGAATGGTATTCTGACGGTATATCTTCCATCTGGACCTCTGGTGGTGGTGGCAACATAATGGTCTTCACACCATTGATCTTCTTCGCTCTGTCGAATTGGGACATCTACCTCCTCCAGTTCCCAAAATTTGGCTAATTGTTTGTCCTCATTAATCACCGATACCATTCCTAGTACCGGTCTCCCCTTCTTTGCTGGATACGTGATTTGTCCAGATATAACCCATCCGAACTGCGTCTGTTGTCCAAGTAGCTCGCTTTCTGTCTTCTTGATCCCTTCCATTATTATTTTTGCATAATCGTGTGCTCCTAATAAAATGTCTATTGGACCTGGGATGTTTAGGGTTGGATCTGCCAGTACCACATTTTGCCAAGATTCCATTTCCATCTTGAATGATTGCCGTGGTAAATTTTCGGTAATTTTGGGTAGCACGATCAGCTCTGTTGTTAACATGTATTTACTTGAGTGCCGTGGCTGCAGATGAACCATAACTTGGGACCTTGCTGTCTTCGGTTCATTATTTCCAAGCCCCGAAACCATCGCAGTTATCTTGGTTCTTGGTAGCTTCAGTTCCTGGGCCGCTTGTTCGGTGATGAAGGATGCTTGTGACCCTGGATCCACCAAAACCCTCAGCACTTGCTGATCGCCCATTATATCCTGGACTCTCACCATTGCGGTTGCCAACAACACTTGGTGGTCTTGTCTTTTCGTCTCCATCTGTCCCGACCTTGTGACTGCGTGGGAGGCTGATTTCGCTGGTCTTGTAGCCTGTGTTGATGTTCCGTTGTATGGGGTGTGCAGCATGGTATGGTGTGGTCTGCTGCATGTTGCACAGTTAATTGTGGAATAACACTTGTATTGTTGATGATGTTTCATGCACCGGATGCACAGCTGCTGTTCCCTAACGATCTTCATCTTTTGTGGTGCTGCAAGCGTCTGAAATTTCGGGCACCTTTCCATGGAATGATGTTGTTTGCAGTAGTAACATGTAATTGCGCTGGTGGGTTGCCATCTTGACTTCGATGTTGATTGCTCTTGGAATTGTTTTGGTCTTTGTTCTGATGCCTCCAAGGACTGGAACCGCAACTTCAAGAACTCCATCACTTCTTCTAATTTGGGTATTTGACTTGGTTGCTTCAGTGACTGCTCGAACAGCTTGTTGGTTTCAACATCCCATTTGTCTGATACAATTTTTATTACAATTGTATCCCATGATGCTGTGTCTGTCCCCAAATTATTTATTGCTTCGAGACACCCACGGATTGTGTCATGAAGCCGTTTCAGCTGTTCCGCGTCCTCTTTCTCGACTGCCGGAGCACCCATCATCTTGCCCAGTAAGTTTGATACCATCAGCCTCACGTTGTGTTGTGATATCGATTCTTCAATATGTCCCAAGCCGTGGCGTAGTTCTGCTCGGTTATCGGTAGATGTTGTATTAATTTGGCAGCTTCTCCATCCAAATGGCCTTTCAGGTAATGCATCTTCTCTGTATCCGAGAGTTCTTCATTGGAATGTATTAGCTTCTGAAACAGATCATGAAACGGAGTCCAGTTTTCATACCCAGTTCGGAATGTCGGGATCCTTATTTTAGGCAGCTTGATTTTTGACGTCCGTGTAGTGTTGTCCTCACACTCGTTTTTTAGGTGGCTTTGTATTCTGTAGTATTCTTTTTGTGCTTCGCCAAACTTCTTCAAGGTAAAATATTCGTGAGCAAATCTTACCTCATTGACTTGTATTTCTACTTCGTTGTCGCTTATCACCTCCCATCTCCTTTGCATGTCGTTATATAACGCTTTGCATATCTTTCCCATCTCCCGTTCCTTTGTAATCTGAGCTGCTGTTGTGTAGAATTGTTCAATGCGAATCTCCTGTCTTTTGACCCTCATCAATTGTTCGTCCATTTTTCCATCTGTTTCAGTGTTCTGTAACCCATTCAAGTATGCCTTTGCAGTGTTGTATACTGCCTCAATTTGGTCCATGAAATTTGTTGCATAATAATCGTGTTCTGAAATTTTTAATTTGATTATCTCCGTGTGATTGTTCCTTGCCTCCCGATGGTAATCTTCTAATTTCGCCTGCCGTTCTTCTATGTATTTTGCAGTCTTCCGGGCTGCTGTATCCTTTTTTGAGTTGGACAGCAGTTTGGATATGTCATTTCCAATCTCCTGCTGCCGTACCACCAATTTATTCATTTCCTCCATTTTGGATTCCTTTTGATTATTTTTCCGCTATTTACCCTTTGCCACGGGGTGGTTTATTTTCTTTGTTCCTTCTAAAAATTTTCGGTCACTCACCCGTTAATCCTTTTTCGTGTGGTGTTTATTTTTCGTTTTGTTTCCTTTGACGCCTTCCTTAGCGCCTATTACCAATTGGTTTACCACTTGCCTTGTTGGGTTGGTGGTTATTTCCTTTTTCCGTTATGCAGTGCTGTCCTGAGCACTCGGTTCCTCCTAAAATTTTTCAGTCACTCACCCGTTATTCCCTTTTTCGGATGGTGCTAATTCCTTAGTTCCTTTTTCAGACGTCTTTTTCCTTATTTTGACGTCTTATCCGGACCGTCCATCCATAGGTCGCTGGTTTAAATTGCTCGAAGGACCATGTTTAATATCCGGGGGGATATTATTAAACTGCACTGAGTGGAGAACGGCCTCATTCCCCAAATTATGGCCTGGACGCTCAGATGCAGGTGAACTAAAGACGTTTTATTCAATAGTCGCTTTATTCTACTTTTTGTACAGTTTATATACAGAATGATTGTGCACATTGCAATTACCTACTCTACATATTTTGATGACAACGTTATTAATAGTATACAATTTCCTACAACCCATTTCCTAATTGCTCTACATAAAACCTACGATAATAATTTATTGTTACTCTTGCTTAACTGCTTACTTGCCAATTGTTGTAATGCAACTATTCTAGGTCGTATTTACGCGAAACTAAATTCTTGTTTGATGAATATTAAACATAAGTTATATAAAAGAAAGGTGCATTCGCCATGGGATCAAGTATCAAATATTATGATTTATGATTTATTAGAGATCAGTTGAAAACTGGTGCCCCAATTGTATACATATAGATGGATGTATCTGAAGCATGTATCTGAGGTGTATTCAACATGGTTATGTTGTACGCCGAATTACTGTAAGACTGGCTGGATCCAGAAGGTGTTTCATTACGGAAGAGACGACGACTAAAGCGACGGCGGTATTTTAATAAAGGACTGTTTATGGCACACAGATCGGTACATTAATTAAAACTTTACGGTGTTGGTCTTGGTATAAGTAGGTGTATAATAGTATATTACGCACCGAGTGCGAAAGTAGGTTATTTTTCGAAGAATTTTAATCACCCGAGGCGCGCAGCGCCGAGGGTGATTATATTCTAAGAAAAATAACCTTTCGTCGAGGTTCGTATACGATTTTATTCACGATCATCATTATAATCATTCCATTATCAAAAATAAAATAATTCACTAAATTTATACGTAGTATATTCATCTTATGCGCCATCTGCAATATTATTGCCCTACATAAAATGTTGTCGGTAATACAGATTTGGAAATTTACCTAATTAATATTCATATTAATGTTAAAAAATGGCCCATACTAAAGAATTTCAATGTACATCCCCTCAAATAAGGGAAATTGAGTGTAGTAAAAAATTTACTCCCCGAATGAATTTTTGAAGAGAATGAACAATGGTGGGCAGGAAAAAGTATAGGTAAAACTTCATGTTTTACTTGCTTATTTTAATGAGGTAAAGGTAAAGAAATCATCCACATTATGAACGACCAAATAATGTTGTGATCCACATTCAAACCTAATGCCTAATGACCATGTCAGTTTTATTATTCTAAAATGTACCTACAGCGATCTTTTATGATTACAGATTTAGACTGGGTTACAATATTAGTATTATAATCTGTGTAGATGTCAATAACGAAAGATTTATTCTCCAGATCCAATCAGGTAGTCACTAAACACCTGTTCCAATACGATAGCCCTAAAAAATAGCATTATCTATTTCTAAAATGTGACAAATTACCTACATTACCTACGGACATTGTTTTTGGCATCTCATCGCTACAATATTAGCAAGTGCTAGTGGAGTTCTTCAACTTAAAACAGTTCGGTGGCTGTAGATCGGCTGAGGTAGCAGAAGGTTTCGTCGCCCATAACGTCGCCCAGTGGCTCATTCGCTTTACGGGCACGCGAAAATAACAAAGTATGGCAGTATCCTCTTCAGGTAGTGCTATACGACGTCTCCGATATGCAACATTATGATGCCATAAATTGCCATCCCTTGCTCTTCTCATGGGTCGCAAGCGCAACCCAATGTTTCCATGTCTTATGGACAAGAATTGAACTTTTCCACCCAGAAATTTAAACAGTAATGGGCTCTCTAAAGTAACAATCAATTTCATTAAACTCAAGTTCGAGTTTTATACACTTACCTATCCTTCAATAATTAACGGTTTCTTTTTGCTTTTGTTTTTACTTAACCATTTAGCACCGCCATCGTTTAGTTTTAGATTACGTGAAACAAACCATCATCTCCGTAATCTGGCTAAAGTTAATCACAACTCCTACTTGTGTTTACTTCGGTCCGCATTTACTTATTTCACATTTTCGCGTTTGGTCGTTCATTTGCAATTTACAAAAAAAAGCACAGAGCTTAAAATAGTCCATATTACTCATTATAAGAATAAGAATTGTTTTTAAAATGCGGTTTTGAACAATTTGCATCTAAATCAGCTGTCATCTGTGTCAGACAGTTACGATGAGAGCGCCATCCATTAGGATATTAGCAACTAAATCGAGGTAGGTAATGAAATATTACTAACCTCGAATCGAACATTACTAACCTCGAGAATCTACTTTCCTCCCTCCTGGAAAAATAAGTGTTGTAAAACACAACTTCCTTATCCTTCAAAATGACAATTATGAGACTGATTACAATATGATCGTGAATAAACGGATATTCCCGCTATTTATTTTTTATTTATTTATTTGGTTGACTGGTTACAGTAACAATAATTCTCGCGCTATTTCGGGATATCTTCTGTCAACGTCCGAAATATGTGGAGGTGGTCCAAGAACTACTTATACTTATAGACATGGGGACCAGAAATATACACATGACATAATTTGGTAGGTATATGCAACCATTTTCAAGAAGTTATTTCAGAAATCATAATTCCTTACCAGCATTTATTCATAGCGCCAGCCAGCATAATCATTGTGTTTAAGCGTGATAGGCCATTTTACATGGAGACAATGCGCAATTTTAGACGAATTCGTTTGAGGATCCAAAAGAGGGAAATTATTACTTTTATTCAGTGTTGATTCTTGTATTTGGTACAGGTGAGTAGGGTTTATCAAAAACCTTATTTTACAATTTTCAGGAAGGATTGGAGAAGGGTTTTCTTTAATGGAACACTCGGCGTCTAATAGTGAATATAGACAGTTACCAATGCAGCTCCGAATTTACAACAATTAGTACGACAAGAGGTTTATGAATTATTGTAATTGAACCAAGATTTAGAAACTGTGAAATGTCGAAAAATTATCAACCTTATACACATGTAAACAGTTTACAACCTCCGCTAATTTGGTACACTAGATAGGTTATTTACCTATTATTTATCAATTAAAATGTTCAGTTCATTGGTGTAACGGGGGATCGCTTTGCAGTTTTAAATTTTTTTTGATTTCGTATTTCATTTCAATATAGCGAAATTTACAATTGTACCGCTTTATATGGAAAGTGAACTAGAGTAACTCTGGTGATAAGTCTAGCGATATACAACGTGTTGGGGAAAGCGTGCGCTGTTACTGCGATGTTTTTGGTCCTTAAAATTGCGTCTGTTTAGTTTTGAGGAAAAATTTGCCGGAATGCAAGGTTTTTCTGTTGGTTAACACGTTCGCTGCGATACCAGTCATATAGGTCTGGTAGCTCTAATTTCGTTCCGGCGGCTACTCATTATGCCATCTATCCCATTCCAACGAAGGATATATCTTAACATACACTTAACCAATAGCAGCGTTACAGGTACCTATATGACCCTCATGCGCAACTTATCTACTTTATAGTGCGTAGTGTCTACCAGGCATATGTGTCTGGTATCGTACCCTGTGAAAATAGGTTTACGCATGTGCGGCACCAGGCATATGTGTCCGGTACAGCTTGAGCACGTGTTGCAGGATGTGTAGGTGATTACGGATACTGCTATTGTTTATAATGGCTTCGCGTAGCAAAAAAATATTGAATTTGTTGAAGCAAGATAGTATTTCCTCTATTTCAAATGAACAAAAACAACCAGAACATGAACATGGTTCAGGGAGAATCTTGCATTTGCGCTTGTAGAAGAAGGTTCTGGAGCACAGAATATGAGCTCAGCAACCACTCCCAAAAGAATACATACATTCGCTGTCGAACAAGGTCCAGGGAAAAAACGCCGTCGAAACTGTGTTGGCTGCTACAAAAAGTTAAGAGTTACCTTATCTAGTAAGGAAGCAGACAAGAAAGTTACCAAAGTGTCCAGTTATTGTGCTGATTGTGAAAAGAAACCAGCTATGTGTCTCTCGTGCTTTAATGAAAAACACAATAATATTGCTAAAGTGAATTAGAATAAATTTTTGTTACATAACTGTATGGTTTCTTCGAAATAAATGTATTCATATTAGTTGTTGAATTTTTCTCCAACCCTTTGATTTAGCCACTTGCGACTGAAGTGCGTCATTCATTGAACAATTTTCAAGTAAAGATCATAAAAATTACCGTTTAATAATTTCACATGTTGATAAAAATTATCATAAAAAAAAATCTCATACCAGACACATTTGTCTGGTATGGTATCGTCACAATGAAAAGAACACTCACCAGACACATGTGCCTGGTGCCGCTGAAACGACGAGACAACTTTGAGCGGTACCGCAGCGAACGTGTTAATAGGGCACGGTAATCGAGGTCATTACGTTTCCTTTTGATTGCAGTGCAGTTGGGATTAAGAAGTCATTCACAGCTTAATTTTAACCGTGAGATCTCAATACATACGGATTCAGCACGTTTACTTTTTCGCAAAAAATCACGGTAGTTTTAAACCAAATCGTTTGCGAAATCTCCTTAAATCGCGGAACAATAAATTATCCTGCGCCAATAGGTCGGAATCGAGTCGGGCCATAGTTCATCAAGGGCAGTAAAACTGTGTGAATCGCTGTACGGAAGTACTTGCTCTGACGCATCCTTTATTAGTATTAAAATCGCAACAAAGATAACCTGTTTTAGTTAATAAACACTACATAATATCATTGTATTTAAATACAATGATAATATCATTGAGTAATTAACTCAACCATAATATGTTGCTTTATTTTCAACTACAATAATAAGAAAGAAGAAAGAGATGGGATGTAGATTTTAAATTTCAACGAGAAAGTTAAATTTTACCGAACGTTTAGTGATCCCATTTCGAAACTATTTGTGCAGCAAATAAAACCCTGTTATAAATGGATGGCATTAATTACTTAAACAGGAATAGATCGTGTTTAAAGGGGCATTTTGTTTCCGACCAAATTTAAAGAATAAGCAGAAAATTGGCGTATTCAGTACGTCCCAGTCAGTAAAAAAACATTTCCTCAAAAATTTACGAAATGCACTATGTGGCTACTTTGTCCAACCGTCCGTCCCGACGGCTATCTCACTACCAGATCCTTATGTTAAGAGCTATTGACCTACTTTTTACCACATTTTCCAACTCGTGCTATTATGGTCTCTTTCTTCGTCCGTCCGTCAATCCGTCCGCCCGAGGCCTTAACTACTCCTACAGTTTTCAAAATATTTTTCTTTTTGTATTTGGTAGCTTATGGCTCTGCCACCTGAACCTTTTTGCTATTTGGTTCGTTATGGTGTCGACGCTTGTACCATGAAAGCAATCCCTCCTACGCTAATCACGAAAAAAGTTATTGAATATTATGGTTAGTCTCACCGATCTTTATAATACATTTAGTGTTGGCTTGAAAATTATTCATTTTAATTTGGTTGTTAATTTTGGGTAGCTTGCACGATACATGAATAAATCCACAATTTTTAATTAAATGCGCTTATTAATCTAAAATATTGAAAGGACGTGGCCTTCATTTTCTCACTCAAGTATAGCGTTTGGGACATATGCAATTTTCTTTTGTGCATAGTAAAAGAACATCTTGAATTTTTCGGAAGGGTCGTTCATTTTCGAGTACAAAAAGAACGCAATGGATAAGAAAAGGTTGGTTACAAAATTGCAATAAACGTGAAGGTTTTTATAGGGGCAGCGTGCTACTTCGTTAGTATTTGATAGGCTTCTTTAATTACATTTCGCTATATATCATTTTGCACCATTAAACACTTTTTAAGACGCGCGAATGTAAAGTAAAACACATAAATAACTTGTGGGATACAAGTGGATATTTTCCCTCCGTATCAATCGGTATATCGTTTAATTATTCATAGGAATTGAAGTCCAAGTCAAACTTCGGATTGTTTGCCGAACTTACTAAAACCAAAGGGTATTATGGTTACTCTTTGCTGAAGCCATTGAATAAAACGCTAAAACTTATAAAAAGACCAGCTAAATTGGATGAAAATTTAAGCATTATAGGGCTGCGAAAACTAATTGATATATAGATTCATGAAGTGTACCTATCGATATTATCTATAGACCAAGACCTCAATTAATGATAAAAATTTCACAGCCCTAATCGGGATGTAGGTACATAAAGATAATGAAAAAATTCTTCCTATTCGGATTTACTTTTGGAAGAATTTATATACCCTTTTTGCCACAGGTGGCCATTTTCATAATAAGAAAAAATTATCGATAACATTGATATTCGATAATATAAATAACTGATAATGTCGGTAATCGATACTATTTATAATATTTTTATTATCGATAATCGATAGTGAATTTCTATTATCGCACAGCTCTAGTTGATAGCATTTGCCGCAACAATTAGAAGCGGCAACTTTCCGTGAAGTGAAGTGATTGTTCTACTTTGCTATTTAATTTCTCATGGTATCGAGGCGTGCACCTGCAAGGAATGCATTTTTTCGGCGATAATTACGAAATAAATTACATAGCAAAAATCTATTTTTTCACTCCTAACAATTTATACTTTAGCCCTTTATTGTGCTTATAGGTCTTGTTGTATTTTGACCCATGGTTTGGATTTTGGAATGGAAATTTTTATATAAGTTAGTGATTTTTAAATAAAGGTTTGTCACTATTTTGGTTAAATAGCTGTAAGGGAATTTTGTTTGGGTAATTATTTTTTTGGCCAACAAAGCTATTAATGTAGAGCTGTACTTTTTCCAAGTCGTTGACAACTGCTTTTGTAACTTTGTTATATATCCGATCAACCAAAGCGTTTTTTTATCTTTGCATTGTTTTAATTGTTACCCCTGTGATTATCTGGCTTAAAATGCGATTTTTATTCTACGATGAAAGGTGATATACTAAATAATAAATTATTCACATAATTTTGTTGTTCTATCAAGTGGGAAGTTTTCATATTAAACTTTTTGTCCTGCTTCTGTAATTAGGGTAAGGGTAATTAGTATTAGCCATACACAAATATGAGCACAATATGTGGAGGAACGACACCCTGATGCGTATAATAAAACTAAAATTAGCAGTTAATGACAATTTATATCGAGGATTTTATCCTTCCCTGTCAAGAATTTCAAACATTTTCAATTTTGACATTCAAGTGGTAGAAAGTTTACAAGTCGTGTCGCTATCCCCGCGAAGCTGCTATCGCTCCCTGCTTTCAAAATGAAATACCAAATTATTCAAGGTAGAATATATTAACTTCATTTGGAGTTTATGATGGCACAGAATACGGAAAATTGGAGATTACAATTAAATAAGCTAATGAAAATCATAGAACTACCGATGTCAGTCAAGCACCTGGTCAAGCAATAAAGCAAGATTGACGATCGTGTTTCATTTATGATTTTGTAACATAAAGGTGCCATCATGGTTCATCCCTAATTTCTTCCAGAAGGTTTTCCGTAATTGTTATCATCGCAATAATTATACACGTGATCAGAACTCGATCTAATCAATGTTGAATATTGTAGAACCGGCGCACATCTAGCAATATACCTAAGCTACCTAGGCCAGTCGGTAGAGAGCGTCAATTTGTGAATTCATGAATTAAATTTGGTGCTCTTAACTTTGCTTCACTATTGTTTAGGTAAATGACTATAATCCCAACAGCTTTATAGCGTTTGCTTTTAAGTTACCTAAGCACAATATGATGTGGAATTTTGGTGTAGTTATATGGGGCATTGAAAGTGTTTGCATAGAAAGTTATTTTAATGTAAACTATTTCAAATACAACATGAAACAACTTTCTAAATACGAATATAAAGGCCTAGGGAGATAAAATCAATACAACCCCAACCAAGAAACAGGAATGTGGCGTAACTGTTTAATAAGTGAAATTCTTTCATTTTAAACCACTCTTGAAGAAATACCAGGCAGTTCTCGATTTTTAGGTTTGTGTAGATCAGGGTGTAGATTTACGAA